CGTTAGACGGTGATTTCACGTCACGTCACGCCAGCAACTGCATCTGATATCTTCGGGCGACTTGGTTCACATTTGTACTTGGCATAGGAAAGATGAGGGTAAGAAAACTCAGGCCCAGATCCAGCGCTCGGTTTCTTTACTACAAGCAGAACGAGCGCGCTTTGAAACCAGAACGACGACCTGGTTGTGGGTTCGGAGGTTGTCGGCTGGCAAGATAATTCGATCTTAGTAAAGACCCAATGGCAGACGATGACGACTCCTTGCTAAGATGGCCCTACCTTGCGTGTGACTTCATACCGTCAAGTGCGTGGCATTGGCCTTGGCGGACACTAAGTGCAAATTCACATTCAGCCGTATTGAACATCCTGTCGTTTGAAAGTAGTAGGCGTGGCAGAAGAGGATGAGGACTGCTTTATTATACGCAAATCCACGTGCCACTGAGCCCTAACGGTGGTTCGACGGTAGACCTCTTCGTCAGAACTCCCAATTACGCGTGAAAGCACACAGAAGTAAATGCTAAAGGTGAGCCGTTCTCTTTGATTATCATGAGAATCGTTAGGTCAGCAGTTTGAACAATTACAAGAATCCAGAACGCCACCACTCAAACTAAAAAGCGCAACTTATGTCAGTCAAAGAACAGTAGAAATGTGGTCGGCTACTGGTCGTCTGTAATGGAAAATTGAAGACGCTACTCGTAACGGTACTGCTAAGATCGTACGCAACACTGACTCACCGTTCTGATTCAAAATCAGAGACAAGAAAAAATGAACAAGCTTTCAGTCATAAAAAGAAAACAATTATCCAAGTGTAATCTATAAAATCGCAATTGATAGGGCATGAGGACTCGGGCCAACTGTGGAACATTCGTTAGACAACTAGGTGGCCTATGGTTAGGGTATGGTTGGCTGATGATAGAACAGGAATCATACATAAGACTTCCGGGCTCCGTTGTCTCTACCAAAAAACACAACGTCGGATTGATAAACATCCGGCACACCGCTGAATAGGCAAGGGTTCTAACAAGAAGGTTAATAAAAGTGATCCAAACAAGGGCCATCATAAGGAACGAACCAATCAGAGGAGAGCAGGGCACGAGGACGGGCAGGCCACTCCAGGGGGCATGCAGTTCGTCACAGATCTCTGCTACGGAATCGCTGAAGCCGCCACCGCAGTCATCCACCGACTCACCCACCAGGCTCACTTTCCAGGCGCGTCGCGACAACCAGAAGTGCGGTTGTGGCGGCACATGAAGACGAGGAGGTCGAGGAATGAGAGTGGGACGTCCACTAGTCAGTTGATTGGCCAAACAGGCACGGGCACCTCTCTGACGATGGTTCGCTTCTCCTACTTCCTCCTCTGCTGTTACTGGTGCTCCAGTGTCCACTAATCCGTCCGGATCCTCGTTGCTGCAGAGCACGCCAAACTCGTCCATCTGCAACATTCGTCTGGAGACCTAGGAGTAGAGTGGGTAGTTGAGACACTGACTATTTTTTAATTAGAGAAAAAGGTAGTCCTGTGCCTACCAATACACAGCCTCAGATGACTACTTACTGGCTCGTCCAATTGGCATCGCCTATGAGTCCAGATACTAATACTATTATGTGATTATACTACTCGTGATGAGTGAGTACTCATGTATGTTTACTATTTTGCACTAACTGACAGCTGCTCACTTTTCGCCTGCAATCATGTAAACGGCCACTGTCTTAATTTTTCAGTCACTATATCATAAATAGGGAGATCAAAGGCATTTGCCTATCTTTCCCTCAATAAAACTTAACTGAACCGAAGAAACTCCCAAATCAACTGGAAACGGCTTTGAGATACAGCCATTGACATTGTTTGAGCGAAGGAAATTCAAAACTGCATTCCCCATTGCTTGTCTGTACTGAGGAACAAATTCGATCATTTTTGAAGTCTTTTATACAGGTATTAAGGACTGCCGAGTAGCTTCTTGATCTCACTAATACCTTATGTGGGCAGATTTGACTGGGGCAGGGCAAACCTGTGGTAGTCCGTTCCCTCGCTTGACGCTTTGTCACGTTTTATTCTTTTTTGTGCCTCATGCTCCTAATTGGCTAGCTGCTGGAGCCATCCACCTCTTGGCCCCCGACCAATCAACGCGCGTCATTTCACTGATTGACTGCTATCGACAGAGGGGCTACGACGGGCACCGGACGCAACTAGCCTGAAGAGACAACTGGCGGCGACTGCGTGTAGAGCCCCTTGTTAGCTCTTTTGCACAGTAAAGCTCGTCCAACCTAATTTGCCTTCCCCAACTTCCAATGTAGGGAATCTTCGTGCTGTCGACGCCTGAACCTCGACATGCCGACGGTATTAAGTCATGGTCAATTCGCTGTTAGGGCCGCGCAAGTCTTGGCAGTAGCCTCGCGAGGGCTCAAAGCCAATAAAATTGCTTCGTTTCATTGTTCGGCTGCTGCCTGAGTTAGGCTATACACGGTACATATGAAGCATGCTAATTTGCTCTCTAACCATGGCGGACATAATGAGAATCGGGTTTGAGGAAGCCGAGACCACAGCCCAATTGGGCACAAACACACAAAGTCGACGAAACAAAATTGCACATCTACTCCCGTGTACTCGTAATTCCACCTGCTGCAGTATTTACGATGGTTGGCTGTAAGGCTACCAGCTGACGTTCAATTTATGACAGCCGTTAAAGATTATCTGCGAGAAGGCTGCAATCAGATCTCTATCACGATTTAAGCTTTTCCCGATCACATTCCAAACAATCCGTGACAGAACGCGACATGTTTCCTGTACTACGTCTGCGGAGCTCCGCACAGTCCATGAAGGAGACAAACTGTTGGAAATTTCCATATTCCCGCAAAGAGTCAATCTCACAGAAGAGCACGCCCGCTTGTCTCCCACGCTATCCACCATGAATGTGCGCTCGAAAGCGTACCACCTTGCTCGTGACCACAGAGTTCTCGCCAGATCTGATTGGTCCATGAGTTCTGTGAGAAGTTGCTCGGCTCTTCTATAACTTCCTCTGCAAGCCGATGGGGCAGAATGTAGTCAGCCTGAACGGGATGCTATAAAAAAACGCAGTTTTTCAATGAGAATGACTTGCAGGTTTCCAATAAATTTCCTTGCGGCCAATGTGTGAATGCTAAGTACCAGGTCGGCTCATAACACGAACAGCCCAAAGAAGACCGCGCAAGAGCACCAGACAAAACTCAGAAAGTGGATAGAAACAAGTGGAGCAAATGCCACTGAGCACAACTCTACAAAGCAACACCCTGACAACTTACCTGAGCAAATACCGATTTCAACGGATTTGCAGGCTCCAGATCGGTAGCATCTTCGCAAGAATTCCGATGACTTTGCGGGTGAGGGGTATCCGACCGACTCAGGTTAGTGCTGAGACGAGTGACTCGAATTTCGGGTCCATGGAAGAGGGCCGGATGCGTAGTCGACTGAAGGATGCGTCGAAGTAGGATCTCCTAGGAGAACATAGAAGAGGTATATTTGAGAGGGTTGGAAAAAAGGGAACAACTGCAGGCACTTCATTCAAAATCTCACCTTGGACTTTATCAGCAGAAGACTCGCTAGGGTATCTAGTCGATTGTCCACGGTGACTAGGTCAGAGTGAACAGAGGAAGGCGATAAGAGAGTTGCTAGGCGGTCTGTAGACAAGCCATCACCAACTATCTGACCAATCAGTGGCCAGAAACCGAAGAAAGCCGAAGTCTGAAGACGAGAGCCGATGAGGCTGCCATTCAGCAGGGTGACTCCTCCCATCGCGGGGTCAGCGTTGTCAACTGCTGATCGGGGATTCTCGCCACCACAGGTCAGCTTCGTAACCCAGTGGAGAAAGAGGAA